ACTATATCTCAATAATAGAAAAATCAAATATTATTGTTGTCGAGATATTGGCGCAAAACTTGTTCTCGCCAATTTACTCGCGCATAGTTTTCGCTCTCTTTAAGTGACAAATCAGATATCATGGGATCTCTATTGGAGCGTGAAAATAGCAAAAGATGCGATAAGTCTGAGAAAAGTCGAACTAGATCGACCAAACGAAGGTCTCGAGCTGCTACTTATTTCGCTTGTTTGCTGGAGAAAGCTACGCAAATTTACTAAGCGTGTGACTCACGTGAAATCGTTCATGCAAAATACTTAATTCTATGTCACAGATACATCCGGTGCAACATGGTCAGAAAGATCGTTTTGTCACCTTCTCTCCTAAGTTTCACTTTTTATGTATGCATCGTTTCCTCAAAAATTTATCTTTTCTATTATCTGCTATTACAGTGTTTTCCAATCTTTTTTGTGAGACACGATCTTCTTTCTATAATAAATCAAATGTAATCTGTGTGCTCTCTTCCTTTTCACATTCATTAAAGATGAATTTAATAAATATTGTATTCGTTATTTATGTTTATAATATATATCTACTTATAAAGTTTTATTTGTTTGTAAATTTAATCTAATTCATAAATTAATGAAGTAAATAGATGCATTCTAAATTTAAATATTTTTTTTATTAATAATAAAAAAATACTTGTATAAAAATATTTAATAAGTTCATAATAATATTCATTATTTAATTATGTCTATTTATAAAATTTTATTTGTTTGTATTCATTATTCATATTCATTATATTCATTATTTATTTATATTTGTGTATTGTATAAATTAATAAAATTAAATAAACTTTAAATTTGAATAAGGCTTTTTTAATAGATATGATACTCACACAAAAATAATTTTCTTTTTGTTGCATGTTCCATGTTGTTAAAGTATAACCAATTCCAAGTATTATCTACGGAAGTTCGAAGCTAGTTGCATTAACGGTCCTCCATCTGTTAGTTCTATGCCACAGTCTATTTCAGTCTTCTGTAACAAATAATTTAAAAAAAATTTATAGAAATTAGTATTTTCTTATTAGATATAGATAGATATAAAACCAAACATTATGATATATCATTAACCACACTCTTCTTTGATTTTATTTTCAAAAAAATTATCTACATATTGTATTAATATAATTTTTTATCCGACTATAATAAAAACAAATATAAATAGATATAAATAGATAAATAGATTTTACATTAAATCCATTATTATTTTCAACTATTTATTATGTTTTTAATAAAATTGACGAATAAAAAATTTAATAATTAAAAAAAATTCTTTAATTAATGCATCAAAAATTATTAAAAATTATTAAAAATATTTTTAAAAAGTTGATTAAAAATTTTATTATTCTACAATATCAAAAGATTTTCTAATTTTATTATATATTCCTAATTTAACATTATTATATATTCCTAACTTAACGATGAATAATAGTCGAAAATGATAAGATGTAATTCTTAAGAACAAGATTAATCAATGATGAACTGTTCGAAATTGTGCACACAATGACTGAGATCGTCGATAAATCGACTAGTTTCACCGTATTAAATTAACCAATTACGAGTCAAATTGATCGAAACAAGATAATATCTTGAAGAATGTAATGTAATGTGAAAGTTTCTTTTGTGGATTAAAAAAAAAAAAAAAATAGCATTGGTTTTTAATTAAAACTAATAACTTTTCTTATTTTCTGTAATCCTCTTATTTTCTACAACTAATCCAAACTGGTTGTTCAAGAAGACATGATTGACATTTTGAATGATTAAATGAATCATATTTTTTAAATTCTAATCTTCTAATGAAAAAAATTAGAGAAAAAGGGAAAAACAATGTTATCATGACTAATTTTCTAAAATTGCATTCTATATTTTCTTAAATTGGAATGCTTTTAAAAACATTTTTCATGTATGCATATCGCATATTTGTTATTGGTATTGTAAGAAAAAATCTTACAAAATCTTATACAAATCAAATACTGTGTTATATATGATGTATATACAAAATGAGCAAATATGAAAAGTATATATACTATATATAAAAGCATAATCAGATATACCTGTAATTAGATATCTCGCTGTCTTTATCGTGGGAATCATGAATGTAATAACAATGATACTATCAATGATGCTGGTTAAAACAATTCTGAGAGGAAAATAACTAGAAAAAGAGGTCAATTATTATAATCGATAATTATTATTTGATAATATTTAGTTGAAATAGAAAATAATAATAATATGTAAAATTTATTGTAGAAATTATTATATTTTCAATTTTCTTCAAATATAATAATTATTTTTTATTATATTTTATTATAAATAGTTATAATCAAAATAATGATTATAAATATATATTTTAATTTATTTTAATTTAATAATATAAATTATTATTAAATTAAATATAAATTATATAATAAATAATATTTTAATTTAATTGCCAAAATGATTCTATTTATAATTCTTCTAATGATAATGTCACATATAATATTTTACTTTTGTTATCGACATATGGTAATGTTAATAGATATAAACCATTGAACCAATGATGATTACAAAAAGAAATTAAATTAATTATTAAATTTAATTAATCTATATTGTATTCAAGAGATAACATGAGTAAACCTAAAAAAATTACAGCTGAGAAACAAAATAAATGTAGCATTAAATGAATTTTGTATCCGATGTTTTAAAATATCAACTTCACAAAAATCAAAGTATAGCCCTCTAACATAAAATTAAAGTACTATAAAACTATAAAGTAAAACTTGATTCTACTAACCATATTGCAAAAATTCAAAAATTTTTTGAAGATTTTCTTAAGTCAGGTTAATAAGGGATAGAAAAAAAAATATTATTTATCTAAAAGTGATTGTTATTAATTTTTCATAAAAATACATTGAAAAAAAATGATATTAAGAAATAATTTAGGTTATTCAAATTAGTTATTAATATACAAAAGATAATTTAATAAATGTATAAAATATGAAATTAAAATAATAACTAAGATCAAGTTCTATTTCAAAAGTTTATAATACAAACTATCGATTCTAATAGTCACATATACAAATAATATAAAATAAAAAAAAATTAAAAAAAAAAATAATTTTATTCTTTGAATACAATTACAATATTCAATATATAAATTACCATTAATAAATTATATTACATAATAATATAATATAAAATAATATAAAATATATTACATAAATTATATTGAATAAATATATATATATATATATATATAATTATATATGAATAAATATATTAATTGAATAATAGTATAGGAAAAATAAAAGAAATAATTATTAAGAGATTAAATAGATAAATTACATACCTAAAATAAAGAATTTGAACACTAAACTTTTAGATGATGAAATGACATCATACGCCATGATTTCGATTATCGAAATTTGGAAAGAGATCGATTCATGCAAGTCGAAACATTTCATAATATGAATGCCAATCGTCAATTTCTTTAACTACTATTATAAGAAATGTTTTTAACTTCGTTTTTAATTTACGAATTAAATTTATATTAATATAGATAAATTTATATTAATATAGATAATATAGATATAGATATAATAATATTAATATAGATATATTATATTAACATATATAATATAGATAATATTTAGGAAAGAAATATGTGAGAATATATATGAAATAAAATTCATTGCAATATCTAATTATTTCCGTATGAATAAAATAACGAAATAAACGTATGGTAATGTTTTCTGTTAATAAATAAAATCTTATATTTGCATGGAAAATCATTAAATTATTTTTTAATCATTACTTAAACATTAATAAATTATTACGTTTTCGAACCATATTGACAATTGAATAATAATCTGCAGATAAAAATCAAAACCCATTAAAAAAATATATAAAATTAAAATTATATTAAAGTAAAATAAAATAATAAATGATGAATAAAAATTATCTTTAATTATAATATATTTAATTATAAATAAATAACTATAAATAATTAATTATAAATAAATAATTATATTTAATTATAAATAATTAACTATAAATAGTTGAATAATGAAAAGCGACAAAAAAGCACTGTATTAAATATATTAATTTATTTAATATATAATTAAATGTATATTTAATTAGATAAAATTACTAATAATCTAAAAATTATAAAATAATATTTTATTAATAAAAATTCTATATAATTACGCACTTCAATTAGTATAATACATCCTTTCTCCAATTTTCAATAATAGACTGATACAATTCGTCTAATGGCCAATTAGAAAAAGATGCTTTCTGATTGATTGAAATTGTATGATTCCTTATTTATATCAATCCGCGCGAAAATTAAAATAAGTATTATATAAGAATTGTATAAAAATTTATTTATATCAAATATATAAAGAGAATATATATTTAAAATTTTAAAAATATAATAAAAATAAATCATTAGTATAAAAACAACATAAAATTTGTACAATAAATATTATAATAAATAGTTAATATCTATTTATTAAAATTAAAGTTTAATTCAAAAACTATTTATCTATCTAAAATATTTTTATCTATTTTTTTTTTTTTATCAATTGTAAAGTAAATCCAAAAATACTAGTTTTAATTTTGGAAATTTATGTTAATATAAACTTTAACCAATATCTGATAATTTATACAAATAAAATATTTATTGTAGAAAAAAATAATTGACAATATTTTCATGTTAAATTTGAATTCTATAGATCGATCACAATTATAATTCTTATGTCAAAAACAGTTGACTATTGCTACATTTAATTACTATTATTTTCATCAACAGGAGCACTGTTGTCTTATTCCATTCTGAATCGATAATATCGTGCATGATACGAAAATGATAACAGAGAATATTTTATCTTCGGATGATGAGTCTATTCTAAACTTAATCTGTGGTGGTACGCCAATTTGAAGACTGCGAGCGCACACAGTGTCACGTGGTCAGGCGCGACAAGCGCATATTCGAGAGAAACCTGGCGCCCTGGTGGCGGTCTTTAGGGCGGCCATATTTTCTCTCGTGGATTTCAGTCACGAAGGTGGTGGTTCGCTGACAATTTTTGGGATGCGCCGTTTGAAGACATTCTCGTGTGTTTTATATTCGTAAATAAGTGACCAGTGCCAATCATGGCTAAAGGGAGTAATAATTTGACTGGAAGACGGTCGTCGTCGCATAATACAAAGCCTTACGACGCAAACAATGTGAGTAGTATCTCTTTGGCACAAGTCCCCTGATAGAAAGTTCTCTGCCTTTCATCCAACGGTTGTTCGCGCGTTACCGCGCAAATTAAATCTCTCGATAAATTCACACTATGTACCAAATCTTTTTTAGAATATTCTTTACATGACTGCTCTTTTTTTAAAATATATTTTCATTATATTTAGACGATGTTACGGTTATGTGAGTCCACTCGATAACCTCAATCTTTCCTATACTACTTCATGAGATATCCATCAAGACGCCTATAACATGTAACCTTGAAATATTGTTTTTTATAAAAAAAATTTTTGAGAATTTGCTATATAATTTAATTCTCGTAAACTTATTATTTTTTTCAGTTTTATAAAATTTAAATGTTATTAGTTTACATTCATATTTAATACGCGTGTAAAAAAGGCACGCATAACGTTGGAAAATCGTGTTTTGCGCAAATTCACGCAATACCTTGTAATCTTTTTTAAAGATCATTTTCCTTTTTTTTATAATAATATTCGTTTAATTCGATTGATTTAAATTAATATAAAACTTAATATACTTTTCAAACGAACATTTTAACCTCAATTTTAAAAATGACTTTTTATGTATTACAATTGTTACTGTATTATATTCTTACATATATGAATTTCATAAAGTATTATAATTAAATAATATATTTAAATAACTAATTCATTCTTTGTATATATTTATTTAATTATTAATATATTAATTCAAGTAAAATTATACATAAAATAACATATACACAATATATGCAATATATATGATTTTAAAATTCATATATATATATATATATATATATATCTTTTCTTTATATATAATATTCAATTTTCTTTTTTTTATTAATAGTTTTTTATTTTCTATAATATTAAATAATTTTTTAGATTATAAAATATTTTTAAACATTATTTGATATCTATATATCTTTATTTTCTTTACATTTCAGTCTTTTGTAAAAAAAGTGGCAACAAAAGTAACAGATCTTATACCACAAAGATTGTGGATCAGTAAGTGGTTTAACTCATCTCAAAATGAAGATGTATTAGAAGATAACGAAAATCTTGAAGAGGTTGAATCAGAAGAAGATATACAAAAACCTCCACCTTTAAAACGACCATGTATTCGTATGGATGTCACTCATCCACCTGGTACATTTTCAATTCAACCAAGGACTAAATCAACAATCAACAAAACCAGTGTAGCTAAACAACAATATTCAATTCATAATGAAGTGGTAAACATATTAAAAAATGTTAATTTCAATCAATAAAAAAATTATTCAATTAATAATTTTTGTATAGAGTGAAGATTTTTGTAAACCTGGAATGGCCGGGCCAAGTGGGATTAGTCATTTAGTATCTTCTACACCTACAATGCAATCGAGTATTAGAAATGTAGCACCTCAGAGATCTGAATTAAATTCATTAGTTGCTACTACAAATAATGGAACTACAAATGGTACGGATGATAATTCTGAATCCAGTGAAAGTACTAGTGGTTGTAGTTCTCTTATTCCACAAACAAATAGACAAGAAGCTCCATCAAATGTCTCTTATCACTCACCATTTTCAAAGAGAAAAAGATTCAATGATGATAAATTAAGTTTCAGTAAGTCAAATTTCTCTCTTTTTTTGTTGTTGATTATTTTAATATAAATAATCATATTTTTTTAATATATAAATTTTTTTTAGCCAATCATATGCAGTCTCCAAGATCTTTATTTTTAGATAATAACAACCGAGATACTTTAAGTAGTCGTAGACCGAGCTTTAATGCATCAATCATGACAAACACGCCGGATCGTGCATCTCCCTTGGCATCTCCTTTTTACAGTGGAAATATTACTTTTGGTGGAGCAAATGCAGCAGGTCTTTATAAACAAGGTCGTAATCTGTTTAATAGTTCAAATGAGGTATGAGTTATTAATTAAAATTAGAATCATTCTAAATAATTTTTATCATTTACTATAAACATTTTTTATTAATATTAGATTCAACTTAAAGTTCCTAAAAGAACAAGTGTTGAAGTAAAACCATCTAATACAGCAGGAATTGATTCATCTGGTATGAGTCAAACTGCTAAGAAAATATTGGAAGCATTAGAACATTTTTCGTCGCCAATAACTGATGCTAAAAAGATTCCATTAAAAATGATGAATAATGCATCATCAATAAATAAAAAAAGGACAAGGGAGGAAATGACATCAACAACTAAAGTTGGATTACGTCATTTAACTCGTGAATTAACTGTACCAACTGTACCCGATATATTAAAATTAAGACGGCGGCAAAAATTACAAGATACAACAGTTGCAGCTAGAAAAATTATTTCAGCTCGAAGCGAACCACCGCCTCCACAAGAATATCATCTCAGGTAAATATATATAATTATTTTTCATATGCAATATTTCCATGTATGTTTATTTATGTTAAATTATTTATATTATTTATGTTACAAACTATTATGCAATTATTATGCATTCATTATATACAATCATTTTTTAGGACACAAACTAATGAAGATTTAAAACATCATGGAAAAACTAAAGGAGCAAAACTTGAACAGGAAGATACAATTGAACCTGTCAATTTACCAAATATACCTTTACCAATATCTTCTTTACCTAATTTCAATTTTATGCCATCTACTAATACAACAATAGTAGATGAAGCTAATACAGATAAACAAGATACATTCACATTTGCAAGTCCTATAAAAATAACAAGTACTACAAAGAATTTAAAATCGATTAATAACTTTACTTTTAGTAGTCCAATTAATGCTGATAAACAATCAATTGATAAATCTAACGATATAAATTCATCTTTAAACAAAAATGGTATTAAATCTAATATATCTTCTAATGAATATATACCTCCTATAATACAAAATTTTATTTGGTCTGATTCGTCTATAGCTCCTAGACTAAAAGAAAAAATAAAAAATAGTGATGACACTATTTCTTCAGATGAATTAAAATCAGGAAGTGTTATGGATGTTCTTTGTTCTAAATCTGAAAAATCAAATGAATCAAAAATGCAATTAGATTCAGATAAAGAGACAAATATTAATAAAATAAATACTATTAGTCCAAATATAAATGATAATATTATTAAAACTCTAAATTCGCAGTCTAATATGTGGGAATGTTCTGAATGTTTATTCAAGAACAATGATTCTGAAACACATTGTTTTACTTGTAAAGCTATCAAATCAAATCTTAAGGATAAAAAGATTTCTGAAATATCAACATCTAGTAATACCAGTGAATTAAAAACTACAATAAAGGATCATTTTGGATTGCAATTTAAACTTTCAAGTAATCAGTGGGAATGTACGTCATGTTTTCTAAGAAACAAACAAAGTGATACTAAATGTATTGCATGTAGTGCTCTTAAACCAGATATAAAGCAAGAAATTAAATTTGTTAAACATAAAGAAAGATTTGAAGAATGTCCTAAATGTAAATCAAAAGATTTTGAAAAATCAACTACATGTTCTTGCAATACATTTAAATCAAATGAATTAAAAATTACTCCACAAAAAAATACGAATTCTACAGATAATACAGATATATCTGCAAATGAAGATGGTAAAACCAATACATCGACTAATACATTCTCAAATATAGATAAATTAAAATCAAGTAAAGATACATGGGAATGTCCTTGTTGTATGGTTAGAAATCTTATTTCTATTGATTCTTGTCCATGTTGTAATACAGCTAAACCAAGTGTTGGAATTACTACTAAGAATATTGTGTCAACATTTCCAAATGGATTTGGAGATAAATTTAAAAAACCTGATGGTGCATGGAATTGCAACACTTGTATGATACAAAATGAAGCAAAAATTACTATATGTGTAGCTTGTGGTGATTCAAAGCCAGGTTCAAAGAAATCAGATAATTCTACTTCTGGAAATAATAGTTCCAATTTACAATTTAATTTTGATATGCCTGCAAATAATACTGGTTTTAAATTTGGCATTGATAAGGCTGGTCAAGAAAAGACTGATAGTACAATATCTTCAAATGGTTTTAAATTTGGCGAAAGTCAACAAAATAGTCAAACTGGTCAATTTACATTTGGTATACAAAAAGAAGAAAAGAAAACAAATGAAACACAAAAATCTGAAAATAATATTCTTTCAACTTCAGAAAATGCTTTTCAATCTAATGCAAGTAATAATGAGAAGACTGATATAAAACAAAATCCAGAAAAAATAGAGAAAAACATAACACCATTATTTTCGTTTGGTATAGCTAAAAGTGAAAGTGGAACAATAGAATGTAATAAACAATCTGCAAATATAACAACTGCAACAATTCCATCTACATTTACATTTGATACATCTAAACCTACAATGGTACAATCAGATATAAAGGAAGAAAAACAAATTGAAAATATTATAGTAGAAGTTTCAAAACCAAGTACAGGAACTATAGAATCTTCTAATGCTATTAATACAAACACATTATCTTCAATAACTCAAAGTAATACCCAAGAAACTAAATCAACTGCTACCTTTTCATTTGGGGTACCAAGTAATACAATTGCAGTTACTAGTAGTACTTCTACAATTGTAGTATCAAGTCTTCCATCTTCTACTCAATCTTCCTTTACATTTCTTGAATCAAAATCAACTACACAAACATCAATTGTACCAACTTTTGGTCAAATATCGACATCAGCTTCTACAGCTTTATCTAATACCTTTACATTTGGAGATAGTAAAACAAGAGAAGGATCTTCAATAACTAAAACTTTTGGAACATTGCCAAGTGCTCCTTCTGGAAATACATTATTCTCAAATATTTCTAATTCACCATCATTATTTAATAATGATACAAAAACTACACCAACATTTGGACAAACTTCAACTGAAGATAATAAACAATCTGCATTTGGTGCTGCAAATACAAATAAATCCTCAACTTTTGCAATGCCAGAAAATAAAGTACCAATATTTGGAAATACAGAAAATAAACCAATTTTTGGTTCACCTGACACAAAAATGCCTGTATTTGGAAATACAGATAATAAAGTAACATCTTTATTCAATCCACCATTGCAACCATCAACTGCAACACCAATACCTTTTGGTGGAGCATCAGCTACACCAACACTTTTTAGATCGTCCGTTACTCCTGTTTTTGGTAATAATACTACTTCAACATTTACTACTGAATCAACACCTAGTATATTTGGATCTACCTCAAAGCCAAATGAAACTGGCACATCAAATTCAAACATATTCACATTTGGCACTAGTCCTCCTCAAGCAGTAGCAAAATCAGGAACTGGATTCAATTTTTCTGCAAATACTAATCCTGGTGAATCGACACAGAAACCATTATTTACATTTGGTAGTCATACATCCACTCCACAAAGTAACAATTTATTTGGAAATACATTCAATAATCCTTCATCAACAAATTCTTCCGGTTTTACATTTAATGCACCTAAACCAGAAGCAACAGCATTTGCTCAATCTGCAGCTACAACTCCTACAATTTTCGGTACACCACAATCTGGAGTACAAAATCAAGCATCATCTTCGTTTTCATCTACTCCTTCAAATACAGGATTTAATTTTGGAACTACAACACCTGCTGTTACATCATCAGGAGGTTTCAATTTTGGTGTAGTTGTAAGTAAAATAATTATAATTAAATTAAAAATTATTATGATTATATTTAATCAATATATTTCAATTTATTAATTGTTTTAATTTATATTTCAATATATTAAATGTTTCATTATATTAATCTAAATAATTGATTTCTATTTTTAGGCACCTGCTTCTACACCATCTGCAGGATTTAATTTTAATCCTCCTAGTAATACACCTACATTTGATCCTAATACTCCACCATCATTTAACTTCACTGGCGGCAATGCACCTCCAACATTTAAGTATGTATAAATATATAATATAAAATTATATTATAAAAAATTATTCATAAATTATTAATTGTAGAGATTATATATTATATGTTATTGTATTTCAGTGCTACACCTACTCAAACACAAAGGAAAATTAAAAAAGCTTTTAGAAGGATGCGGTAGAAGGGCAAGTAACATACGACCATAGTTCAGAACACACTCGGATGCACTTTTTTTATATCTATTTCATGCAACTGCGTGTGTAAATATGTTTTTGAATATATGATAAAGTTATAGTATGATACAATGAAAATATCATATACCGACCGGTCACATCAATGTGGTGGTATACCAAGCATTTTATGTAATATATTAATTTGTCAATAGGATATGCTTGCGTACAACCACTTGTGTTCTACAGGATCTGTAAATTATAAATTATTTAAATTATACAATAATAACAAATGATACTTCGATGTTGGCATGAAGCCAGTTTTGCAACTAAAACAGATCATAATGCTATTGCATTATTAATACCTTGCCCAAACAAGACACTGTATATGTACTGACGTGACAATTTAATTTGCTGAAACGAGATAATACCTCGATAAAGAAATTTAATAAAGCACTTAATATGTGCAATTTATTGAAGATAATGAGTGGGAGTGTATCCCTCAGGTAAGTATAAGTCATTCACAACTCGTGACAATGATTTTGTAACTAATATAAGAAGAGAGGGGGACTAAACAGTGCCGAAGTACATTGAGTAAAAATTATTTTTTTGTAAAATATGAAAGAAATGTTGCAATAACTTGCAATGGCTTTATTCTTATATTTCTATGTAAAAACAATCATTCTTACCTGACTAGTTATTTTTAATAAATTCAGTATACACGACTTTACATAGTCAGGTACACGATCTTAAAGGAGCTTAATGGAAAAGAAATATGTGCTTAACAGATGGAATTCTTTTATTCATTTCTTCTATAAATTTCGAGACGTTACGAGTCTTGTGAATCGACTGAATATCAATGATGTCCCACTGCGTATAAACATTAATTATATTTTAATTAGAATTTTATGGACAGTTCTACAATCTTTGTAGTACTAGTCCAAAAAAAACGTGTATCATATAAAAAAAAATGGCATTCGGATAGTACAAACTCACGATTACTGAACAATTGCATTGAGTAGTCGAAATTGTATATTTTTTTTATATATTGAATGAGCTAATCCTATAAGAATATACTGAATGCCATTTTAATAGGATTAAATTATAGTAATGTTGTGTGTTTTATCATAGAATGAATGGAAAATGAATCAAGAAGTATGTTGAATGGAAGTAAATTATTATGGGGCTTCTAAAGAGTTACTTCTTTTTGTTACTAAATTAAATATATTTTTATAATGAGTTTCTAAAATTGATATCAATTTTGTATATTACTGTTATTTCTACTATATAAATATATCATGGAAACGTATCATTCTGTATTAACAAAACTAAATATATATTACAATAAAATTAGTAGAAATAAAATTAAAAAATTATACTTAATTGTTAAAAGATATAGACGAAAAGTCATATTCTGACATACTTTTATAAAATATACTATTTTTTTCTTTTTTTCTTTTTTTTTTTTTTTTTTTTTTTTTTTTAAGATTCATTTCTTTTATAATATTTTTCGTTCTAATGACAATGTTTATACAATTACAGATTTTAACAATGAGTGCAATTTTATCAAGAGTGATATTAATTTTAATAAATGTAAGTATAACAAAATTGTTTCCAAAACATTAAACAACCATGAAATGGATATTCTTTTTAGAAGTCCCTAAATACAGAAAGTAGTTAGTTGACGTGTTAATGATTAATGAATTAATATGAAATCATACACGTCTTATTTAAGATTAGGATAGTTATATCTATAATGTTGGCTTAAAATTGACAGTAGCCAAGAATAACTCGGCACAAGACCCACCTTCTGCCATAGTAGATATGTAAGTAGGTACAAACAACTCTGTTATATATTGTTGCTCTATATATGTTGTGTAATATTTACATTATAGATTTTAAGACATTTTTAATTTCTGTATACATTATCAAGACACAAGGATAATATATAATAGAGAAATCTTGATTTCATGTTGATAATTTATAAATTGCAAACTCTGAAAATACCCTTCGTAGTTGTTATCTATTATACTAAAATAATATTGCTAAGTATGTAAAAAATATATCAACGTAATTAGTCCATTTTTCTTTGTATAATTAAAAATGCAATTATTCTACTGTTTAAATGTAGAACAAGATTTATCATAATTCAGTAACTGAAATAGACTAGTAATACTTACAGTACCTCTTAATGTTATCCTTTATAAAAGAAATGATCTTCTCTACGAAGGGTTCTCTTCCGCACATAGTTATATTGTCTAAATTAAAAAATTATAGCTTTGTATAATTACCAGCTGAAATACTAACCAATGGTAAAGTGAGGCTGCGCTGAGATATGTCTATGCTGCTGTCCTACACTGTGAACATTCTCTGTCGAGGCTGTGTCGTCCATTTGTCTATCCCTAGACAAATTTCCAAATTAATGAATATATCAAATGCTGCCTAAAAGAGGCAGTACCTTTGTATTAAATCTCGTATATGGCCTTACAAAACATAACGAGCGCGTGACGTAGATATATTAATGATTGTAAAGCAAATCATATTGGAATTGTTTTGTAGCAGTTTGTACTCTCCATTGCAATGTGTTTGCATAAATACTTGAAGAGCACTACATTAAAATCGTTCAACAATAGATATTTGACATCTTATGACTCATAGAATATTTGTCTTTGTATTTATTATAACTACTGAAAATATTATAATGTTTTCATGAAATTAATTGTTTGAATTAGTCATCACTTAATATTATAATTTATAATTGAAACATCATGTAAAATAAAAATATATATAATTATTATAAAAATAAAATAAAAAATATATATAATTATTATAAATATTTTTTTTCTTTTTGTTAATGAAATATCTTTTCTAAGCATAATGCGCAAAAATTCTATGAGTTATGAGATGTAAATAATGAGTCAAATGTTCTGAGGCCTTATTATAATCTTAGTCCATGAAAATTATGTATTGTACTGAATTTACATGAATATCTGTAATGATTATATTGAGAATGTATTAATCAATGATCTAATGTTCACAAATGAGAGAGTTTGTTATAAAATAAGTCCAATGACTGCCTGTAATTAAATAAAATGTACATGGGAGAATGTTCACTGTATGCTTCAGGTGCTATGGAGATGTTATAACATTCTTATGTCATGGTATAATGTTAGATAATATTGTGAAAGAGTATCGGTGTTTCTCAACCGATAAATTATTAATAATTTAATAATCTTTAGTCGCACAAATGAAGCACAGAAAGCTATTAATATTCTCTTATTTCTGAATAAAAACAAAAATACTTTATAAAATTACAAATATTTTATTTAAAAGAAAACATGAAGACGTATTTGATTTATTGAAAAATACGTAATAAACACAAAATCATATAATTAAAATAAACGTAATATATTACATAGAATAAAAGATCTATTTGTGAACGAATATATAAATATAATTATGATGAATGAAAAACTCGATAGCCTCATATAATATAATTTATTGAATGTGACATTGCTTTAATGCGTAACATTTGCAATGACGAGGGCTATTGAGCTTGTGTTGAGAAACACCGTAAATAGGATACATTCACGTTAACATTATTACCATTATTATTCTTAATATTATTATCCTCCGCTGTATTCATAATAATTATATTATACAGTACTAGGATATATGAAAAATATCAATTGAAAACAATGACGTTTAATTTTGGTTTACAATTTTATTTTATAGCTAGTAAATAACGATTTTAAGGAGGGCATTTAGATAATGATGCGAACCAAGGAGTTTTTAAATAAGTACAATTATCGTGTAATGTAACTACACTTTAAATTTTAATTTTTTTTTTTTTTTTTTTTTTAGTAAATAATATAAAATGTACGAAAACAATAAAGCACGTGTAGTACTTTGTAAAAACCCTTTGGTTCACATAGAGAAAGTAATCTGAAAACGAATGTTAGAATTCAGTCGCAGTCTCGAATTCTTAGGTCAAATGTATTTGTTTAATGATTACATTTCGCGTTGCTTTTTATTTCTGTAAGTATCAAGCTCACTCCTTAACAGTTCCTCAAAGAAAATATACAAAATAAGAAATCCATATTATAATATAATATTATAGTATTTGTGGTTTTATCATCCTGAACAATCATATGTCTGTTCTACATGTTTTTAGTAAAAAAATATTTTATTTTAGTTACATGATATATTTAAATGCAAAATTCAAAAAAAGCAAAGGAAAGTAATCTTCTTTAAATAGTTTGAACAAAGTTAGAGTGGGCAAAATATAAGTATTTTTTTCACACTTCAAAAAGTTTTATAAAAATAAGTAATTAAAAATTACAAAAACAAATGATTAAAAATTAAAAAATATTTTTTTCTACATAAAGTAGCCCAGTTATTATTAATTAAAAGTTCAAATTGATTATCATGTTGCATTGTCTACTATAAAATCTACGTATTCAGTTTCCACTTACTAGAACTATACAATAATTATATAACGTTAATTCATTTTCTTATGTTGCACAGCTGTATGAGGAGTTATGCAGAAAATAAAAATTATCTACGATTAAGATACACTAAGTGTTTGACTTATTTGATTTTGGCACACTGTACAATCTGCATTAATGATACAATGTTAAGGTGCTTTCAAAAAAACACTGAGAATAAGTAACATATATTAGATTATTGTAAATCTCTAAAATTATTTACAAATTTTATACAAGTTTCAATCTTGTCCACTAAAAATTTTTGTTGCACATAAAAATGTATTTTTTTTTCTTTTTTCTTTTATTATTAATATATTAAGATGAAATTTTAAATAAAAGAAACAGATTGCTATAATTACAAAGCAAAACTATTTTTTTCCAAATATGTGGGAATTAGGTAAGATAATGGCGATAAAGAATTGAATTAAAACTTCTGGCACGAATTTTATTCCGAGATTTACAACAAAAATGTTTCAACTAGTTAAAATGCCGCTTAATCTTGGGATATGAAACATTGACACGTATAACATAGGTAATACAAGACGATGTGGACAATTCAATAGTTTGCAATGAACTGATAGAATAGATTCATTTTCTATTTACTTAGTGTGTTGTGTTTGCGTGTGGATAGGCCTTCTGTGCTTCCTAGAGAGGTGGGTTTCTTAATCAATTGTAATAAGACTCGTTAGCTGATAAACGGAATAGCCAATCCTCTCTAGGCAGCCCATATTCATTACTATTTTTATCACTTCTATCATAATATTATAATTTAGGTACAATCTTAATTATTCAATATTAATGAGAATATTAATAATTATGTTTTATTTTTTGCATGAATTAATTATAGATTGTAATTATAATTACTTTATAAAGTTTCTTACACTAAGAATCGTCAGACATGAAGGAATTTTGGGATTTTAGCTCCTCCAATGTTTGAATTTGTTGACGGAGAAATAATATCCTATAATATTAAAAAAAAGAAAATCAATTTGATTATTTTGATTTTTGATTTAATTTGATTATTTTAATGTAAAATTTTACAATTTTAATGCAAAAAAATAAGAAAATATATATATATATATATATGTACCTTTGTTCCTGTAACGTTGCTTGAATTTCTGTCAGCCTCACTATCGATCGTGCCGTTTTTAATTCTGCTGATACTCTTGTACACTGTAAACTTCCCATTGTATGTGCTTCTTCACTAAGTTTCTGTGCCTGAAAATAATATTTATATTACAAATATATTAAAGTATATCTTATATTATTAAATATTTCTATTATAACATACAATATTAAAAGTAATTATTTTAATATAAATACCTGTTTTTCAAGAATATCAGCAGGAAAGGCACGCACATGTTGCGTTAAATCTTCCCGATAGTGATTAGCAAGTGATGGTGTTAAGGAAGGAGTTAAAGGAGGCTGTACTCTAGCTAATGCTTGTAAACCTGTATTATTTAAATTTCCAAGGGAACCTAATGTACTAAGATTTTGCAATGAGCTTAAACCTTGTACTCCAGAATTCGTACTTCCAGGACTTGTTACTGTGAAAGAGAAACTTGTAGGTAATTAATTACTATGATTTTATTAAATACAAATTCATTAATTATTAACATACATTTTCGAGCATCGATGCAATCCTGGGTTTCTGAATGTGTTGGAGTAGGTGGTCCCTCACTTGTAACGTTACCGCTTGTGTCAACTTTTAATGGGACCATTACATCATTTCCACTATTATTTCGTTCTCCACTAGTCGATTGCTACAAAAAATATAATTGAATAATATGAATATAATTATTATATTTTTATATTGAGATTAATTATGCAATTAAATTCATATATTAAATTAATAAAAATAATAAATATGAACTTACTTGTCTAGATAATAGAATGGCGGCTGTTTGAAGTGTTTGTAATGCTTTTTGTGGTGTAATATCAGGTTGATCTTTATTGCCTGTGATTTGGGATAAAAGTCTCGGAAGATTTGCTAGTGAAACTGGTGGTCCTGGAGCATTACTGTTACCTTGTTGCGTTGGTGAACTAAGTTTTCCAGGTGTTTGTGGTGTAGATGGTGGATGTGATGTTAACCGAGGTAATGCTATAATAATATATAAATTATTATTAATATATATTTTTTCAGTTTTTTTATCATTATACTGCTTAGATACATACCAGTAGCCAACAAAACAGGACCTTGAGGCAGTGGATCGTGAGTACAAGATGTTAGAGGTTCGGAAGTTGGGGTGGAATCACCTGGAGAAATATCCATATCCTGTGCTTGACGCTCTACTCCAGTTTCTTCTCTACATGATTCCCGATCCCTTTCGCGTTCTCGCTCTCTTTCTCGTTCTTTTTCTCTTTCTCTTTCTCTAATCGAAACATCTTCTCTACTACTACCACCACCACTTCCACTGCATGAACTCCAATATTCTCGTTTGTCAGATTGACGCGATTTACCATCTCGCACACTGCTACTGCTATTTGACCGCGAGTTGGAATGTTTATCGTGACCTACGAGCAAAGAAAACAAAAAACTTTCTATATTGAATGATTCCTTTAACTTAGATATGAATTAATTTTAGATAAAAATAAAAAAATTATATAACTTATATATATATTTAATCCAATCTATACTTTTCATATAAATAATAAATTTACATTCATTTAAAATAAATATTCGATATATAATATTAAATATAATATTAAATGGAAAAAATATTTATATCTTTATATTTATTTTAATTTCTTCATTTATATTAAGATCAAAATAATTTATCAAGAACTATTTAAATTGATCTGCAAAGAATTGATATTGATAATAAAGCAATAAATTATTAAAATAGAAAAAAGATCATATTTTTGTAAAAAATAATATTAGCAATAAATAAAGAATTTTTTAAATTTAAAAAATTTATTTGATAATATATCGTTAGACGTACTTGACCTAGAAGAATAATCATTGGACTGACGTTGTCGATTTTCTGTTCGACTAATCCATTCCCGTGGTTTTTCCCATTGAGAAACTTCTGTTTTACAGTTGTAATAATACTTCTTGCCTGAAGAGCTCATGTGTTCTGACCAATCACCAAACCTGGCCGAACGTTCCATTGCACCTCCTCGCTCATCACCACGTTTGTCCTAAACATACTGTTCTAAAATTTCCGGAAACAATTGAATCGATGGAAAATATTTATAAAAATTCCAAAACTTGTTCGAAAAGTTGAAATTACATTTGCCCACGTTGTTGACTCCGTACACCTATCGAATCTCGATATTTGACAATTTTTTAATTTTTAAAATGATACATTGTATATATCTCTTTAAAATGTTAATTATTATTAAAATTCTTGTTTATCGTGTCAATTTATTTATAATATATAGAATATGAAACATATTTAAAAAACAAAAAAATTCATGATAATTAGAGGAGATATTTCCCCACAAAAGTAATTTTAAAATATATTTTCATATAAGATTTTATTTAAAAACGACTTATAAATTTCATTGATTATACATAGTTTTGTTCACATCATTATTCGTTTTGTTTAACTATAGACAAAATGAATTTTTATTGGTATTTGTATTTATAATTATATTTGCAAAAATATTTACAAACATGTTTCATTCTATTTTCATAATTATTTATCTGAATCATATTAAGATATCTATAAGATCTATAATAATATATAATGGATCTATAAGGATAAAGGATATTAAGATATCTATAATAAGTCATATTTATATATATTTATCTAATCTAAAATAAAAATTAATCATAAAAGTCTAATCATAATAAGTTTAATAATTAACAAAGAATTATGAATTAATTATTTAAAAATTTATTCATAATTTATTAATAAAATAAAATAAAAAAATATGTAAGAATATATTATATATTTTAAATAAAATTTCTATCTTTAATTTCTGTTTTTCATAAAAATAAAATCTTATATGATATAATTTATTTTAAAATTATCTTATCACAAATTTTATGACAATCAATATATTACAAATATATTTTAATCATTTCTTATATTTTTATAAATATATTTTTTTTTGTAATAATTATATGTACATTTTATACTGACCTGACAGGAATTGTGTGATGGTTTTCTCTGAGATGAAGATTCTCTTGATGAATTTGACGATAATTTTATAGGATGTAAAATCTGTAAAAATCATTAAAAAAAAAAGCATTTAAATATTATATATATTCCAGAATATTTTTATGTTCATGGTTCATAATGTTCATATCATTATGGTTCATAAATCAATTATCAAAGAATATTCAAAGGAATGAATATAAATTGTTTCATAATATTAATTGTTTTTAATATTAAATATTAAAAAAATAAACAAAAAAATATTTAAAATAGAATTAAGAAAAAATTCAATAAATTCATAATAATACAGTAAAATTCAAATAAATTATTTTATTTATTAATTATTTTAAATTGTTAATTTATATTTATAATAATATATGATTAGAAATTTTATTGTAACATTTGAATTTATTAAAAAAAAAGAATTAATATTTTTCAATTATATTAATTAAATTAATACACTTTAAAATTTCTATTGAAAATATTCTTACTTCTCCACTACTCCTATCATGGTTGGTCCTGTGTTCTGAATCTCTGCTCTCACGGCTTCTCTTGTCTTTTGGGGATCGTGCACAATCTACACATATGCAAGCAAGCATGTTACAGCTGAAAATGTTAAGACACAAGCCTGTTTTTATACTGAAGAAAGAAAGAAAACTTTAGTTCTCAAAGTCATTATACAGTCGATTTTGCCATAACACAGATTGTATAATTTAAATAATAATAAGACAAAATAATAATAACATTATTCATTAAAAAATAATAAAAGCATTATTCATTAAAAGAAAAAATAATTAAATATATAACATCTATTTTTTTTATTAATTTTTTTTATATTAATATTTCAAAACTTTATTTAAATCTTTTAAATATAAAAGTTATAAATATAAAGTTATAAATATAAAAGTGCTATATAACAACAATAGAATTATTATATTAATCTTCTGAAATATATTTAAAAATATTATAAAATTTATTATGAATTTTATGTTTTATATTAAATATAAAAATATAGATTATAACTAATTTTAATTTTTATATTAATTTCATAAATATATGATATAAAATATTATTGATTATAATAATAATAATTATAATTATAGTAAGTATTATATTTATGTAAATATATGTTATGTAGATATCAATTTTTATTTTTATTAATTTTAAAAATATTCTTTTAATATATTTTTATTTAATCATGAATAAAGTTGAATTTTAATTGCTAATTATATAATTCTTTTATGTTTACAAATAATAAATGTTACAAATAAAATTAACAGGTTATAGCAAAAGTGACTGTATTATTATTTGTCACAATTTAAATGAATCTAGCAAATTTTTCCTAATTATTGATAAATATTTGATAAATACAGTATTAAATTTTTTTAATATAGTTTTAATATTTTGCATATTTACAGTATATATTTGTTTTATATTTTAAAATATAATTTTACATTATTCTAAAAAATTTAATAAAAATTTAAATATTAATTACCTGAATACTTGTCCCTAGAGGAGGATAACTTGTAGTCTCTGTTTTCTCTCTCCTTCTTGTATAGGGGCTTGGATGTGTAACTGCGAGGACTATCTCTATCTGTTCCCATGCCCATACCCAAGCCCCCAGCTGGACTATAAGAGTTGCCATTTGGGGAATCTCGCATACGTCCTTCGTAACGATTATCTGATGATGTTGTTGATGAGGAGTAGCCACCCTTAGAACTACTATACTTTGCGTTCTGTAAAAAAATATGACATATTTAATATAATTAAAAAATTATTTTAATTAATTATCAATTATCAATAAATGAAAAAAATAAAATTTTTTATATTCTTCTTATATTTTTATTGTTAATTAATATAAAAAATAATTATTAATCAAAATTGTTATTGTGATAAATTATATACAAAAATTAATATATATAAAATTATTTATTATATTAATTTCAATTATACATATAAAATATCTAATTATATATTATATTTTACATAAAAAACATAATATAATATTATTGTTGTGACTTAAATGAAGAAAAATTCAATGCATTAAACATAAATGAAGTATCTGAAATTATTTATTATTTTTATTAAAACATAACTGTTACAAGTAATGTATTACAAAAAAAAGATTATAATTAATATATTTATGTAATATTTCCAATATACTATTAGTAATTTGCATAATATAGAAGAATGAATTATTGATTTTCTAAAAGTGAGGTTATGTTTACAATATTAAATAAAATTTGTAACTTTTAGCAAAAACATTAAAAGTAAGCAATTTATATAATATTTATAAGATATTAAACATAAATTATAAAATTATATTAAAAAATATATACAACTATTGTATGCTTTTAATAATATTGATAATTAAATGAATATTTCCAAGGACAATATCTAGTTAAAATTTTTATATGAATTTTAAAAAAGAATATCAATTTTTTTATTATGTTTAGTTTTTATATATTTTTATATGATAGCAAAAATAAAATAAAACAAAAATAAACCTATATTAAAAAAAATTTTATATTCAACAAATATATATATAATATATATATAATATATAATTTAATAATTCAATATTCTTTTATATTCATTAAATAAGATTTTTGGGATTCATCAATCGAAAAATAGGCAATAATCAGTTCACTTGTAATTTTAAAATATATGTTTTTTAATATATAAAGATTAGCAAATTTATATAGAAAATAAAAACAGTATTTTTTTTTGTAATACATATGATTTACAAGTCATATTTTAAATTTTTTAAAATAACTAAACGAAATTATTTGACACTCGATTATAGAAATCCAATATAAAAAAAATATATATATACAAATATATACATAGTATATGTCGTGTGTGTATATATATATATATACACATCATACATACATATACATACATACATACACACATACATACATATATATATACATACACACACATATATATATACACATCAACACATACAAAAGCTATGCGATATTTGCGCCACACGAAAGGGACAAAATAGGCGGGCAAAATACATAAGAAATATTGGACATTAAATAAAAAAATATCGCGTATTCGGAAACTATAATGAAATTCTTATAAATAATTTGTTTATAATATCTAATTGTGGCTTAGTTAATAACGAACTATAAAAAAGAAAGTAATGCAAGAAATATGAAAGAACTATTGACACAGTTGATTGCGCGATTATTGAAATAAAAAGCGCAAACAAAAAAAGAGAATTTTATTTCTTTTTTAGTGAGAATGAAAAGAATCGCGGTAAAATTGTGCATACAATCGCACTGTAGACGAATTACCCCACTCCTAAACCCCCGACACCAATTGCTCGGATGATATTTACCTGATAGGGATGGGCCTGGTGCTTTTCGAAGTACCTGCAATCATAGAAGATAAATGGTGAATAGAATTACAAGACAGCGGACATTCCAGGATGGAAAATAAAATTTCCATCGAGGAAAATCTCCCGCGAATGGCGGTAGTAGTAATGTCGAGTGGGTCGGATGGACGGACTTTGAAGATGAGAGGTGAGGTGAGTAGAGGTTGGTTGTGTCAGGATTGGGTATTTGACGGCGGTACCCTACCCATCGCTGATCCTTTGTGGTTTCCTCGCATGCATTACCATCAATGCCGGTGTCTGTGGGAAATTCGCGGCCTCGGATGTTCCCTTTTCGGTTGGTCAATGTCATAAAAACAACATTAACGCTTATTTAACAGTCAACTTTCTTTCTACCCGGACGCCATGTCACATACGTGATCGGCCGCTAGCGGTTATTATAGTCGAAAAGTTCGAGTAACGTCTGCGCTTCGGTGTGCACTTCTCTATTCAGGAGCGTATATACTAAAATCTTTGAACTGATCCATTTAACTGCACGTGACAGTGTGTGATCTGTGTGCTTTAAAATTCTTTTGTCAATTTGATTGATACATTTTACATTTAAATTACATAAAAACTTATTAATTTTATTGTTAACATAAATAAGATGATTATAATATTTGATGAAAAATTCATTTGTGAAATTTACGTGTAAATTCATAATGGAAATGATTATATTTGTTCGTATATAATCATGAAAATTACATAATCATATTATTTTATTCATTTTTTAAATATCATATATAGAAAAAAATATATATAAACTTTGTTTTTACTTTAAAGAAATTTATATTCGTTATAAATGTAAAAATGTTCAAACATTAAATTTAAATAATTCTCACAATAACTGTCAGTTATACAATTATAATTTCTAAAATTTGCATCTATTGTAATAAATGAAGAAAAAGGATTTATGAAAATATAATATTTCAATATATCGTCAATTTCATTATCAGTAAAAAAATATTTTTAAATTATCAACAATGCATTGGGGTTCTTTAAAGGGTGCGGCCGTACCTGTATTTGTAATTTCCGTAGCAACGCTCAAATTGTTAAGATAACGGCGGCGTTGATTCAGCATTGACGCGAGGCGTCGTGTTTTACTCGAAGAGCCATCATAAGTTTCGAGCACATCGACAACAGGCGGCGCAGGTTGCAATAAATTTACAGTTGTATGCGGCTATGCTGTAGAAAACGTAATGAACTAAAACTATGAGACGCCTTATTATGACAAAATGAAAGTGATGATCGTTTCCGTTTAATTTCATTTTGTTGCAGGTATGTAGTAGTAAATGATATAACAATGCATATTAAGAAGCAAAGATTATTTAATCTTTGTATTTTCGACACGCTTCTAAAAACAAATGCACATTCAAGGAAACTTGTGTTCTTTCATTGTTGATTGTTATTATTTAGACTTTTATAATATAACATTGACACGTGGTTATATTATGAATTATAGTAATATATAATTATATTAAATATTATATTAACATGTGTACGTTTATTGTTAAATTTTATTTTATATAATTTGATTAATTTATTTGAAGAAAAATACATATTTTTTATCTTATGTTATATTAATATACTATATATTATTAAAAGAATAGTATATTATTATAATATAATATTATATATAATTATATTAGATTTTAAATTTTAATAAAAATAATTTTTAAATTATAGTTTATTCTATATGATACAAATATATATGATACATTCTATTTTATATGATACATAAGATACAAATATAAATAATTCATCGATAAATATTGAAAGAGACATAAAAAGTATAAAAAAATATATTAATAATTAATTCTTATATTAAATAATTCTTTCAAATTTATATAAAAATTATATATTTTTTTAAATGTTTGTATAGTTTAAAAATAATTTTTTAAATTATATTTAAATTTAATATTCAAATTTTATATTATATCTCTTATATAATTATAATGTAATTATAAATGATAATTAAATATAATATTAATTTTAATAAATTTACAGCAGATTTTTATAAAAAAAAATAATGGATAAAAGAAATAAAGTAGATTTAATATTGACATGCAATAATCCTATAAGTATGTCAAAAAAATATATAAATCAAGAATATATAATTAGTCATTTCAATGATATTAAATCATGTGAAAATATATTTCTATGGCTTGATAAATTTAATAATCTAATGTGTTCATCTGTGGGACATAGAAGTTATGAATTATTAAAACATTTACTTNTATATAATATACAAATGAAAAAATTATTTACATTGAAATATAATTTTCATAATTTAAAACTAATATTAATTAATATGTATTTTAGAAATATTTTAACTAATATAAATACATATTGTGAAAAAGTATTGGATATGACAAAATTAAAAAATCATCTGAGTACTACATTAACATTTTTTCATCTTTATTGGAATGATATTAAAGAGGTATTATTAAATCATTAATTATAAATGTAATAAAAATGACAAAATAACAAATATTAAAAATTTATTAATAAATGTTTTTAATAGCATGTTAATGATTACAACTCGTATTTAAATGAAATGTCAATACTATTAGGAATATACATAGATATAGAACTTAAAACTTTTACACACACTATGGATTCATCTAAAATTGCTTCAAAACTGCTTTCAGCATTATGGATATATCTAAGTAAGTTAAAAAAAATCATTTAAAATTTAAATAAAAAATATTAAAGTATTATTTTTATTCTAGGTAACTCAGAAAAACATATTTTTAGAGTATTGCTTAAACTAAAATTTGTTACTAAAAAATATTCAAAAATTTTTGATTTTATATTCATGTATGTAAATATTTAATATCTTCTACTTTTTAGTATAAAATTTTCTTACATAATATAAACTATTTTTCTTATATTAGGAAAAGTTTTACTAGTTTCAAGAAAAGTGTGGAATCTTTAACAGATGTAGAGTATGTTAGATATTTACTTGTTCTAAAAATATGGAAAAAAATGAAAGAAACTATAGAAGAAAAAAAGGAAGTGAATAAGATAGCTTTAACAATATTAGGTCCATGTATTCCAAAAATGCGAGATGAATTATTGAAAATTATATGTAAAATTCCAACAGAATTTGAAAATGGAACTCTTGCTCTATTACAACCAAATGTATTTAATTTAAAAACTGCATGTAATAATTTTTTAGTATTTGAAGAAGCAATGTTTATTGAATCTAAAGATAATTTCATAACACAAAATTCTGATTTATATTTACAGGTAAATTTTTTATTAAAAATTATAAATTTATAAATATTATTGATTATTTTGATTCCGTTATTTTTAGGATTTATATAGTGTTCAAAAAAGTTTTATAAACTGTGAATTAATAAAAAATAATACAGAAAATAATCATGCTTTTAAAGATGGAATAAAAAATAATAAAAATAATGATGAACTTCTCCCATCAAGAAACAAATTTAAAAATTATAAAAAGATATCAAAATTAAAACCTGGAGAATTAATTTTAATTGATTTAACTAAAGAAGATGAACTAAAAACAGATAAAAAGAAAAGAAAGAAAAAATGTCAAAGAAATTTAGAATGGTTAAAAATAGTAAAGAAAAAATATAAAATACAGAAACAAATTGATGAACTAAAACATAGAAATCAAATAAAAATTTCAGATGCTCATAATATAAAGAACTCTGAAAATTTTTCCCATAACATTCTTCTTGAAAAACAACTAATTTCGAATAATAAGATTAATGAAAATACAGAAAGTAGTACTTTAATGGAACAAAAATCATTTCAGGATAATACTCATAATTTAAAAAATATACAAGATTATATTCTCAATAAAAATGAAGTAAAATATATGTTTCAACGTAAACAATGTGATACATGTAATTCATCAATAAAACAAACTGATACACAACTCAATAAAGTTCTATATTTGCTGGAAATTCTAAGTACTATGGGACAAAATATTAAAGAACCAAGAACTATATTAAATCTACTGAGAGAAAGTAGGAATGAAAATAAAATGTCTTCTGAATATAACATTTTTTATAAAAATATAGTTAATGAATGTAATGAAATGAATACTCAACAAGAAAGTTCCATAAAGACAATATTATTGTCAAAGGAGTGCCAAAATGATATTACAGATGTACAATCCATAAAACAAGAGTTACCAACAAATATAGATCTTAATGTGATAGAAAAAAATACTTACTGTCAAAATGAATCTATTTATGTACAAAGTGATGGTCATTTGCAATCCATGAATAATCCAGAAATAATAGAAACCATGAAACAAAATATTGCTCATGAAATTCATGAATGCACAAATTGTTGTAAAAAAATTGATATAAAACCTTTTTCCTACCATAACAATAGCATATTTAATATTACAAAAAACGATATGGCGCAAAATTCAATAGATAAGGATGCTATTGGTAAAACATCAATTTGTGACAAAAATATAATGTGTATATTAAATGATCTTGATAAATGTATGGATGTTTTAAATCGTATTGGCGAACATATTATGACTGTTTATGCGGAAAAACAACAAGAAGTTTTGGAAAATGAATCTACAGAATCACCATCAAAATGGATACAAAACATCAATTCATTGACAAATGCAGAAAGAGAAGAACTTAGCAAAATTTTAAAATTTCATGGAAAAAAAGACTTATTAAATATATGCAAATGTCAAGATATTAATTTTTTGGATAAACTTTATAAATCAATATCTCAATCAGAAGAATATTGTTCTCATGGAAAAAATAATATTCTTCTCGAAAACAAATCACTTTCAAATTCTATAGGTAACTATATAAAATCTAAATTTGAACATCCCATTAAAGAAGAAAATAATGAAAATTTTGAAATTTTAAAAGATAAGATATTGAAAACAAATGAATGTAAAATTAGTACATCAATAGATAATCAGATATGTGATATATCTTCTATACATGATTTGAAAAATACTAAAGAATTAAATCGAAATATAAATTGGGAAGTAGAAAATTCTAAAGTAGAAAATTTGCCACAAAAAAATGATGCAAAATCATGTTCTGTAGATGAATTTGAAAATATTGATATTTTAGATAGTATTCTAAATGTACATATAACTATTAAGGACGAACAAGAAATTTGGGAAAATTCACAATCTCCATTGATGTCGCCAATTAATTATGATAATTCAAATAGTGTATTAGATTGTATTAAAGATTTTTTTTCACCATCTGAATATATACATTCTAATGAAACAGAAGAAAAATATATTTTATCAAATACAGAAAATTCTCAAACATTATTACCTGAAGGTAGTCTTGGAATAACTGGAATATTAAATAGTTTATTTGATTTTGATTCTCCTTCAAATGATTTTATGTATTCAAATACACAGGCAATTAATCCGCGATTAATTAAAAAAACTTTTAAAGATGAAATATCAACAAAAAATTCTAATATATCTGAATTGAATTTTGAAGAAAAAATTACAGAAAAGAATGACTTAGAAAATACATTTTTACAAGAAAATAAGGAATCATATAATCAAAATCGTTATGTTGATGATAGTATGGATATAGTTGGATTTGGATTGAACTCAAGTGCAGAAGAAATAATTGATTCTTATTCATTGAGTAAAAGTATACCTTCATTTTCTGATCATTCAACTGTTTTAGTCAATTCAGATAACATATCTTCTGAAGATAAAGAATTATTTCCTAAATACAGTCTTTCTAGTCCTATTGATAAGTTTAATACTGGTAATTTTATAGAAAAATCATATATTTTTCAAAAAAAAGATATTAATCAAGTTCAACCACTTAGTGATACAAAAAATCAAGATTTATCTGAAATTTGTATTACTAATAACATTTCATCAAATATGAATTATATATTAAATCAATCAAGAGATAATGTTCAGTCATCACAAAAATATGCATGTACAGAACTTGAAACTAGTCCTTTTATAAAAAAACAATCTTTAGATTCTTGTGATTTATTGTCTTCCACAGATTCAATATCATGTAACATTGATACAACATTTCAATGTGTTAAACAAAAACATAAAAATTCTATGAGACAAAGAAATATTCAAAAAACTATGCAATATAATAAAGAAAAACAAAATCATATTACAAAACGTAAAATAAAAATTAGTACACAATCTAAATTACCTAAATGGACATTAAATTCTAAAAGAAAAATTAAAATGAAAAAAAAAGAAAAAGAATCATTTACATCTATTATTCAACCCAATCAAGATGAATTAAACTTAAGATGTTCAGAAATTACTATTATCAATCCTTTGAATTATCAAAATATACAAAATACATGTGAATCACCATTGTCAACATTTCAAATGTCATATTGTCAAACATCTCCTAAAAATTGTTGTACATCTAAAAAGAAAAATAAACAATTAAATTACCCAGGGGTAAAACATATGTCTCAACAAAAACAAATTTTATTTAATCTTTATGAAGATTCTATGGTGGATACAATCTACAAAGAAGATTCCAAATTAGAAAATCCTCAAGATATCATGGAAGACATCTCAGAAGATTCAAGTATATCAAATATATCTGAAAAATCACATATATCTAAAAATAAATCTTGTTTCAAATTATCAGAAAAAAATATGGAAATTGATACTGATATAATCAAAGCAAATCTCATAACAGATAAGAATACAACTAAAGTTTCAAATAATATTGGAAAATCTAATGCCAAATGGTCATTACAAGATATAGATATGCAACCATCAAATTCTATTAAAGAACAAATAATTACAACTTTGAATGAAGATATATCTTTGAAAAAAAGAAAATTACAACTTCAAAATTTTATTCAACCAACTTCAACAAATGGAATTCTTTGTTCTATAAATCAGCAAAAAAAGAAAAAAAATCATTGTGTCTCTATAAAAAAGAAAGGTAATTTTACTTTAAATATTCTTGATAATTTGTTTTACTTTAAAAATAAACTAATTCTTATTTTAAAATTTATTTTATTTTCTATGTAGTTTTAGAATATCATCATGTTGAATAAATAAATATAAATTTTGTATAATTAAATATTTTTATGAAATAACTATATTATGTATAATAAAATTTATATATATTTCACATTTTGTCTACATATTCAAATAATGGCATCAAAAACACAGTGTGGTAGTTTTAAATAGAGAAGTTTTAATATTTAATTAGATTTAATATTTTAATATTAAATTTCAAAGACTCCAAATTAATAATTCTCCTCACGGAAGATCAACATTGGAAGACATTTTATTGTTTTGAGTGCCTTTTAAACATCTTATAAGTAAAATATTTTATATAATCAAAAATGCATTTATGCATAGAGAAGAATAAATTTTATGTCATTTTGCAATTCAAGACTGATATTTAAATTTTAGTAACACGGACATTAAAATGTAAAAAGAAAATTAAAATGAAAAAAGAAGAAAAAGAATTATTTTTATCTATTATCAATCAAAATGAATTGAACTTAAAATATTCACTGAATATTATTATGAATTATCAAGATGTGCAAAATACATGTAAATCACTATTGTTAACATATTTCACATATTGTCATATTGTCAAACATCATCTAAAAATTATTATACATCTAAAAATATACACAAACAACTAAAATGTGCAGGTGTTCAACAATTAAAACGTATATCTCAACAAAAAGAACAAATTTTACTAAATTTTCATGAAGATTCTATGATGGATACAATCTACAAGGAAGATTCTAAATTAGAGAATTCTCAGTGTACCATGGAAGATAACATCTTGGAAAATTCAAGTATGTTAAATATATTTGAAAAATCACATACACCTGAAAATAAAGTATTTTATTCTAAAATATAAAAAAAAAAACATAAAGATTAATATTGATGTTATCAAATTGAATCTCATAACAGATATAAATATAATTAAAATTTTAAATAATATTATAAAATCTATCATCAAGTGATCATTACAGAACATAGATACATTATTAAGTCCTCTGAAAGACCAAGTAATTATACTTTTGGATAAACATATACTTTTGAAGAAAAGAAAATTAGATTTTAAAATTTTTTTTCAACCAACTTCAACTTTAAAAACAAATGTAATTGTTTACTGCACAGTCAACAAAAAATTTAAAAAAGAAACAAAATGTTATATATCTTCAAGAAAAGGTAATTATTTGAAATTTTATTTTATTTTCAATATAATTCGAAAATATTATCATATTAAACAGGCACATGCGCACACATGACACATATTCACATACACCATATTGTAACTTTTATAAATTAATTTTAAATATATTTTCATAATTTTTTATAAATTAACTATATTATATGAAATAAAATTTATATGTATATTTTATCTATTTTTTAAATAATACTATTAAAAATATAATGTAATTTTATTAAGAACTTTAGAAGTTTATATTTAATTAGTTTAACATGTTGACATTTTAAAATGACATTTTAAAATAAAAATAAAATATTAATAATTCTCTATATAGAAGATCATATACAACAATGAAAGATATTTTATTTTTTTGAGTATTTTATACATATTTTGTAAATAAAATACTTTATATAATCAAAAAATGCATTTATGCATAGAATTTATTACAGTTTGCAAGTACAATATTTGCATAAATTAAAATATGATAATATGATATATATATTTTGTCTATATTTTATATGTCTCATTACAAAATAAAAATATATTTTATAAAAATTATTTTAAAAAAATAATATTAAATTTTAAAAAATTTTTAAAATAATATTATAAAGGTAAGTTTATTTAATATTCTTAAATATATATATTTTATATATATAAAAATTAAATATAATAATTGTAATTTATTTTTTGCTAATTGATTATAATTTAATAGTAATAAATACATTTTAATAATAAATATAAAATTATTATATATATATTTATATAAAAATATTGTTTAATTTTTTATAATATATTAATATATGTTTTATATTAACTTGTGTTTTTGTTTATAGGTATGATATGTACAAACAGAAGAATATAGTAGGTGAGTTGATTAGAATTTTCCCAGAATAAAGCTTATTTTTTTCCAATATAAGTAAATATTTCATACATATATATTTGCAAATAAATTTATATTAAACTTCCAAACTAGTAAAAAGAAAAGGAAGAAATGCTAACTATTTGAATATATCCTAAATACATACATTTTTCTTAGAAAACAATAAAGTTTCCAAAATTATAGAAATAATTATTATTTGAAAATAAGATATATATCATGAAATTATAAATGGTAATTATCATATATACAAATCGTAACTATATAAATAATTATACACATTGATTGTGTTACTTATTAATTTTTAAATCACGAAAATTTTTTTATTATAATTATATATATTGGTAATAATTTTTTTTATAAGAATAGAAGTAATAGAAGTAGTAACATTATTATACAATTTGCATAATTGTAATATTATTTATGTGATAAAAGTTAAGTTTATTTATTATGTTTTTAGAGTTAATTATTATCAAAATTATTTTTATTAATGAAATAATTGCGATGTCTTTGTTTTCAGTATTAATAAATCTGTACTATATTTTACTTAGATATTTATTGATATTTTTACGATTTTTTTATTTATTTTATTTCTTAAAAATATATATTATTGAATTTAAAAATAATAAAAATTATTAATTATAATAATTTTATATTATAATATATAAAAATATTATGAGCATATTATTTCCAAAGATTTTTTGAAGACTTCTAATTTTTTTAAAAAGTCTTCAATTCTTAGTATAAAAAAAAATATAAATTATATGCATATGAAAAAAATCTTACTTTTTAATATAAAATTCTTATGCATATTAGAATTTAGAGTAAATTTAACAGTTATATTAATATATAAATTTCATATTTCATAATTCATATAAATTTTGTTTATTTAATTTGTATATAAATGTGAATAATACATCAAAATATACATTTAAATATAAAGTTTATAGATGAAAACATTTCAACAATCTCTTTAATAATGTTTAAATTATAAACATTATTTTTTTAAGACTTTAGTTACTATCATTTTACTTCTATTTTTTGGTAATTATTGCTAATTTTTTCAATGTACAAATTACTAAAGCTTTAAATAAAATTTATAATTAATATTTAATAATTTATAATAATATATCCATATAATAATATTTTTTTTCATTTTATTTAATATTGAACATTATATGTCATTAAAAAGTGTTCATTTGAAAGAGATATTATTTAATACTAAATAATTATTTTTATAATATAATACAGTAAAATATATTAAATTATTATAAATTAAGAAGAATACTGTATTAAAATTTTAAAAACCCTCTCATTTTAAATTTTTTCTAAAATGAATAATATTAGTTAATTTTGTAAAATTTGTTCAGAAAAATATTGTACCTTATTATAAACTTATTATATAATTAAAAACTTGACAGCAATGAATGGAAGGCAATATTGAAATAACATGTGATATTTTTATTTTAATATGGATTTAATTTAATTTATGGAGCTATATACATTTTATTATGTTAATATATAATATTTTTTTTTTATTATTAAGCTATTATTATTATCTATATTTGTTACATATTTATAATATTTATAACAATTTTAATATTAAATGTAAATATATTTTTTTAATTTTTATGTAAAAAGTACAAAAAAGATCTTTTACAAGTTTAATGATAGTATATATTTTTTACTTTTAGAATAATCTTTGTTGATTGAAGTTTACTTTCATGAAAAAAATAATATGTGCTGATTAATTTTTTATTTTTATATAGAAATAATTATAATAAAAAAGATGTAAATTTCACAGAAAATTCTTAACATATAAAAGTTACATATGTAATGTAGACAATTTATTATTATTCTCTTATATGAAAAAAATTGACATGTTCTGGTTAATTTTTTCAATATAAATAAAAAGATTTAATTTTCAGTATTTTCAAAGTATTATAAAAATAATAATAGTTTGTAATAAAGATTAAATATAAATATTTATATTTGTTTATGAAAATCTATTTCGAAAACATATTTCATATTTATTTCTAATATTATTTTTAATTTATTTAATATTATTTCTAATATTATTTTTAATTTATTTAATTTATATATTTATTTATGTTTGTTATTTAATTCAATTTGATTGCCTAAATAAAATTTTTAAAAATTATGATTATTTTTACATAATCATTGAATGCATTGAATAAAATCATTACTTTTATGTCATGTCAAATAATAAAAATAATTTTAAATTGAATTATAACTGTAAAATAAAATATTAATTTAAAATTCATTTAAATCTAGTTTGAAAAGTCATTTATTTGCAATTTATATATAAATAAAATAAGCAAATAATAATGTTAATATAGATGCTTGCAGAAATGCCTTTTGTATTTTGTAGAAAATTGTATTCTTATTGAAATATTCAAGAAATGAATTTAAAAAAACATATATAAAAAATTGCTTATACTTTATAGTATATTATGTATACATAAGTAACCATAGAATAAGACTAGTATTCATATGGCACAAAGAAAAATTTATTTATAAATTAATAAAATATAATGTAATTAGATATAATTTTTCATTTACGTTAACAAATTTGATTTTTTTTAATAATAATTTTTTGTAATAAATATTAATAAGAAATTATTAAAAATTTATACATGCACGTTTGATTATATATCAAAATGTTTCTTTCAATATAATTCATCCATTAATGCCTAACTATTTTTCTTTTCTCTTAAGTATTCAAATATATTTTCAAACGTCGATATTAATAAGTATTTTTATAATTATGTATAAAATTAATTTTTATTTTCATTTCCAACCAAAAAGTATAAAAAAAAATAGTGTACAATATTTAATCAAGAGATGAGAAATTGTATGTTTATTTATTTCATACATTTGTTTTACATTTAATATATATTATAGATTTGTACATTTATTATTGTCTTATCTGAAAATGAGTAGTATATTTATAAAACATTACACATAATGTTAATACATATTTAAAAAAATTGTAGTTAACAAAAGATAACTAAGAATAAAAAAGAAAAAGAAGAAAAAATTATTTTATTAAATTAATATAATTAATATCTTATTAGATTAAAATTAATTTTATTAATATTTATATAATTTTAAAGTTTTAATATTATTTAAAGATATTGCTTATCTGCTACAACAATAATTTATGTAATTAAAATTTTTGAATTGATACAAAAAATATATTTTTTTTTAAAATCAAATACATAATATACTTTGTAGAATCTTTCTTCATTCTGATATTTTAATTAATATGATTTTAATTAATATGATTATAAAAATTTATGATTTTTTAAC